GGAAGAATGGCCTCCTCCTGTCTGCACCATTCCCTGCGTGGGTTTGTTCTTCCAAAGTGAAGGCCACAGAGGTGGCCAATTCTGGCCGTGAAGAGCCACAGTCCTGTAGGACTTACAGGTCACCATCAACGCATAAATCTGGACCTGGAACATGTCAGTAATTTAGGACATTACAGGGTTCTGTTAAGTCAAAAATGGTTGACTGGTCCTTGAGAGCTACTGGATTTGGAGATTTTCATTTTAGTACACTCTAAACTAAGTACTTGACCAAATTTGTTCAATGCGCAAAACCGATCTTTCCAACCTGATGATTTAAGGGTGACCCAATGAATCCTGCTAAAATGCGACACTTCAAGACCAGGGCTGGTCACCCTCGTATAGAGAACTCAAAACAAGAAATTTCACCAGCAACAGCGGCACCAACTACTGTATATCACATGGCAGACAGACCACCCTGCACTCTGACACTTAGTTGGCACTTTGGTCCTTAGTTTCATAGTGCTAGTTTTTGGCCCTGGTAATAGTGCGGGGATCACCATACTATTTTAAATGAAGATAATATGCCAGCACAGGGCTGACAAGTCTGGACATCAAGGACCAGAATCATTAAATTCTGAAAACTGAAAACTGCTTTTCAGAACCAAAGGAGACATGGAAAACCCAGTGTATTGAAAAAAAAAAACACGCTAAAATCCCCACTCTAGTTTTTGGGAACTATGTAAAGGAGGAACGCACTGAACATCCCATCAGCTGTAAGGCATGTGTCCATTGTTTTATGTCAAGTCCTTCTTTCACGTTTAAGGACTCTGCAGAAGTGGAAAATCAGCCGTGAAAAAACAGCTGAAAAGGAGGAGTACTAGTCAGCTATAGAGTGAAAATCAAATTCTCGTTCTGTAACACTCTTAATTCAGTGACAAAATTAAGTTTTTCCACATAAACATGTTGCCACAAGCACACTTTTCCAGATCCAGAGGGGGATAACTTGCAGCTCTGCAAGAGCATCCCCACACCGGGAACTGCCCGGCAACCAGGACATTCCGAACACTCTGAACAAACCAGGTGCAAAATATTCAAAGAAGGACCAGGTTTGAGCAAATAATACAATACAGACATTTGTCCACAATTAAAACAGCAATGTCAACTGAAAAAAATGCTATACATTAAATATGAATAGCCAATCCTGTTCCTGAAGTCGAAAACCAGCAGTCACTGAGGACTACTTAATCATGTGTTTATGAAGATTATATTCTGACTTGAGCCTGCCTATTTTCTTTATGTTCCTTGTTGTCTCTATTTATTTTACCAGGCTTGTGTGATTTTAAAAAATGTATGATTTAAGTCACCGTGGTGAGAGACTTGCAAAAGAGAAACCATGTAAATATTCATAAAAGAAATGTAAAGATGTAGTTGGGTTAGCCAGTCGTCTGCTCAATAAATCACGAGTGTGGCTCCGCTTACAAAATATCCAAAAGGAGTTTGTATTTTCATTATGAAAGACCCTGACATTACTGGTTGAAATAACCAGCTGAAGAAGAAGAAAAGCTCAGAAAGTTTTCATTTAAGGGCAATTCATAAACCTTTCTGGGTAATTGCTGGTCACCACTCATATAGGATTATCCAATACCGTAACGTTTTAGGGAAAAGAAAAATGACTTTAAAAAAACTTCTGTCACGTTTAACCCATCCTCCCAGAGGTCTTGTCATGCGCATCTATGGTGTACGTTACAGGATGAGCTGGGCTTTCTGCTGTGAGCTGACTGAGAGACACGTCAGGGTTTAATTCAAATTACCAAGCAACAGAGGGAACCCCAACAGCACAGCCCCTGGGCCTGTCTGAGCAATACACGGTCCAAACTGGGCCCCGTCTGCCACCACTTCACAGAGACCACGACAATCCTGGTGCCACACGCCACAGCATGTAAACATGTTACACGGCTCCTGTAAGAACTGAAATGTACATTTCAGTTGTTTTCTGCTATCCATCAACATTTGAGCTACTCCTAAAAATACAGAATATCTAGGACTTAAAAAAAACACTTTATAGGAAGTACTGAGGATTTTGGGGGTTCAAATTGTTTTTATAGTGATATCTGAGCTTCCACTGGCAAGGTGAGGGTACCCTACTGCAGGGGTGCACTTTGGCACACATCAGCTAAGCTTGGATAGCACAAATGTTTTAGGCTTAAGCCATGGAGATGTTTTTATATATAATGACAGCTGTTGAAACAATAGCAGGGCAAGAGCACTCTGAGCAATGGAATGAGATTTTTCCTCTTGAATTTGATATGTAATTCACCGAACGGTGATTTTTTAAGCAGTTTGGGGAACCTCAAGCTTTTATAGTGTTAACATCACTCCTTGTTGGGAGCCAGCATTACTTGCTGCAAAAGCACAGGATGACTCATGGGCATTTGCAGTATTAAAAGTATGTATTTCAGTCTGCAGGCACGTACTTGCTCCTGTGCAGGAGTGAGACTACTCAAGAAAACAAGGAAGCCTTCAGATGTGGAGCAGGCCAGTCCATTGCAGATTGCATGAGCTGCTCATACATATTTTCCCCTGCAAAACGTAATGAAACATAGCAACAAGTCTGAACTGTCCAGCATTCGTTCTTTGCTTATCTGTGAGCACCATGAGAGTACCAACTGCTCATGAAAACTAAGAGGGATGAAATTTCCCTACATTGCCACGACTTCATAAAGTACTTTACTTGGTGTTAATCATCATCAAGGCCTTCACATGAGTATCCGAGAGGCACGACACCATTTTTTAAAATAGAGTCACTGCATTCGACCAAGCCTTAGTGACCCACAGCAAAGAACTACAATCACCCAAAATATGGCAAATGACATACTACCCCAATCGGATGAAGAAGAAATTATAGGGGCCCGCAAGCCACTACATCTCCCTAACAGGCTTCTAGAAACATTTGCAGCTATTCTCAAAGCAGGCCTGCAGCATTTCAACATCATCGGATATCGTAATGAAAATCAGAAGGCCAATAGGTCAAAACCAGGCAGACCCTCCTATCTGATATTTTGGCAGGGAGTTAGAGGTTATTTTTCATAGTATCTCCACAGAGCCATCAAGCAAGTGAAAAGTATTTTTTACACACGTTATATAAATTACAAAGGAAAGAATTTAGGAACACAAATTTTAGTAATATCAGGTACATCCCTTTGCGCCTGGGAATATCCTACACTGACAGGCTAAAGACCAGAATTTTAAGATTCAGAAAAGTGCAAGGCTGCAAAGGGAGCCAGGTTCAAGTATTCAAAACCCTCAAGGGCAGTGACAACGACAACTCAATGAACTTTTTCCAAAATCAGCAGGTTCAGCGAAACACAAACCAAGAGGAAAGTCCTGGACAATTATGTTCAAAGAGAGAACAGGAGGCACTAGCACAAAGGGTTATGGGAGTCTGGAACAAGCTGCCCAGCCATGTCGCTGTGGCTGATACCCTGGCTTCTTTCAGGAAACGACCGCAGGAGATCCTTGGATCCATTAGCTACTAAACCTCCCCCCCCGTTTGTATACCTTGGTTACATATGGCACACGGGGAATATAACTTTATCCAGCACATTATTTCAACTTCATAAGCTTAAAATCGATCAAATTCATTTTTAAATTTACGTTAGATGTACGATTAATACAGTGGGAACATGGATGTATCTTTGTCTTGGGATGAAATTACTAGCTAACTCTAATACAAGCACAACACAGCGCTTGTGAGTCTAAATCATAGTTTTATGGAAAACGCGCTGCTAATTGAAACTGCATTGGTAATCTGTCACACAATCGAAACGTCCACTAATTACAGGAATACACTGGAGAGTGCTAAAGCAATGGTAAAGAAGCAGACGGCGTTGTTATACAATCCTTGAAAACAAGGAAAAGCAAAGGAAATAACTACAAACCTGAACCGTACAAATTGAACCGCGCTAAACTCTCAAGAGCATTTGCCTTTTTTACTAACAATAATGCTGCCTCGTTTAATTATTCCTTTAGGCCAGATAAGGTCCGAAACATCGGCAGAACACTGCTGTCATCTGTGGTGACCGACTCCGCACCCCTCAAGATCACCACGCCAATATCTATTGAGCCTCAAGGCAAATTATTCACTCCTACTAGCAAATATCTGCTTCCAAGAATCTCTTCAGACCGGTTCCTAGTTGTCCTAAACGGCCTTTATAAAACATCACATTAGAGAATCCAAAGACACCTTAAAGCCACGACCCAGAGGGGCAATTCTCTCAGAGCTCCTTCGGGGCAGGAAATGTGCTCACCGGGGACTCTGCGACATTCCTGGTGTGCAACACTTCTAATATCGTTTTAAACACGGGGCAGAAACGGTACTTCACTGAACTGCAACAATATAACCGAAGCCAGACCCTCTTCCGACAGCGAGCGGCCCACGGCGAGTCTGAGTGCCCCTCAGAACAGAACAAAAGCGACTCAACGAAGTTGTCGAAACCCACAGGATTTGTCGGTTTTCAGCCGCAGTCAGTCGGCAGGCATTGATTTTTACCCACGTGCACAAACATTGCTCAATATCTATTTACACCCCGAGGTAAAGGGGGGGGCGAAAAAAATAAAATACAATTATTCCGAGCTTAAAAATTAAAGAGATTTGCGTAAAGCATGCAGTGGCAATTTACGTACATCTCCCACGTTAGAAACTACCAGCCGGAGTGCTGGTGCGAGTACGGGGGTTCTTTTTTTCTGATAAATTTGCATTAAAAACGTTTTTCCCCTCCTAATCTAACCCGATGGTAATGTTATCAAACTTCAGCTGACGTCCGAGGATTACATTTTAAACAAAAAATAAGATTTAGAGCGACAAAGCACACACTTCGGCGTCTAAAATAAAACAATCCACAGTTGGTAAAAAAAAAAGAACAAGGCCAAACGTGTTTACAATCCAGCTAGCATGAAGGAAAGGGTCCTAAAATCGGATGCAGGCGCTGTGCGTTCTCGGTACAACTCGAAGACGGACTTACCCAGTATTTAACATATAAAGAGCGCATTCCATAATAATGAGGTACATCCATTCCACCGAGATTTCACGCAAAGATCAGTTCTGGGATCCCCCGATTCCCATCCTTTTTCCTTTTCGGAGGCATTAATCCACAGACAGAAAGCTTTCCCCAATTATAATCCTCGAGGTAAGTAAAAATCTTGAAGAAAGGTTTCGGGTTCTTTGTCCTCCAACCAAAAAAAGCAATATCCCAAAAAAAGCCCCCCCACAAATCACGGCGTCTCACTGGGTAACGCCACACGAGAGGGGGAAAAGTTTCTCCAAGAAAGTTTCAAACTTGTGCAACTTTTTTTTTTTCAAAGGAGTTGTTCCTGTTTCGCCGAAGACTGGGGGGAGGGGAGCTCCACCGAGCCTCGCCGTCCTAGCATTTAAAGACAAAAGTTTCTTTTCAGGGGGACTTCGCTGCTCAGCAGACCCGCCAGGGGAAATTGCAGCCAAGAAACCCCCTCCCCTCCCCGAATTAAGAGGCCAAAACGTTTTTTTTCTCCTCGCCTGTCACACGAGTGAAAGTATGTCAGTGACACGCCTTGATTGCACGGTTTTACAACCTTTACATTGAACTGAAGTGCACTTCAACGTTGTGGTTTGCGTTTCACAAAACCTTCTATGTTTATTTCAAATATCGGGGGTGGGTAGGAGGGGGGGGGTCCACTCACGTCATGTATAGATTTGCTGTGACTGTTTTCAGCCAACGCTCTGCAAAAAAACCTGCGCTAAAATTAGTAAAGTAGCTTCGCGTTTTTTTTTCTGAGAAATGTTTGCGTCAAAACCCGTAAATTATGATAGTTGGTTTTTTTTTTCCAAATGCGTGTGCACACACAAAGAAAATTCTGTGCTAACGTCGTCTCCAAGCTTCTCTGGTACATCCAAGATCAGCAGGTTATAGATACGCCTTAAATATTAAATGCATTGGAGTCTCTTGGAATTCTTACCAGTGTGTGTTCCTTCAAAGCAAATTACCTGTTCTTTAGTTTGTATCTCCTACATACCGTGTAACCGCACTTACTGCAGCCCCTTTACTACTGGGAGGAAAAAAAGAAAGTGGCGAGAGGCTTCATGGAGAAGGAATCGAATACCCAGCTAGAAGGGTTCAGAGGCGCCCTAAAAAAACACCGTTCCGGCCCCCGTTTCCATTTTTTTCAACAAGGTACCTCCCAAGACCAGGTCGCCAAACGCATGTTCGCAGCTGCCACTTCAGCACCGTCGACACGAACAGGCGTTAATGGCCAGTGAGGTAGCATTTGCAGGAATACACCGCCCTCGTCTCCCCTGCGTGGTCCTGGCGGATGGTTCAGTCTGAATTCTAAGTAGCAATTCTAGGTCAGGTCTGTGTGCCATTGAATATATAAAAGGTTTGGAATCAATGCGAGAGTGTAGCCGAGTCGAGCAGGCGGGGTACTTTGCTCTCCAGCTGGAAGAAAAGGTTGCTTAGTATATATAACCATATATGCAGGTTCCCCCCCCCCACTAGTTTCGGATAATAAAGCATCCGCACATTTCAGGAACCATAAATACATTTGCATGGTATTTTCACTCGGTAGATGCTCAGCAAGCGGAAAGCAATTCTTAAACTGAAATATTTCGAAGGGGGGTGGGGATTGGGACGTCAAAGCAGCTCAATTCCCGACTTAATTGCATAGTGGAGGAATTCTAACGACTTTTGAAGCTGTAGATTGAGAAAAGACGTGCTGGCCTCATAGGTCTAGCCCTGAATTGTCTTCATGGACACATTCACGATTCTGCATGCAACTGCAAAATTGAAAATGTTTCACGTGTTAAAGGCTACTGTTCTGATGTTACGATTCAAGAAATACGAGAACAGCAAGGCCCATATGTTTCACATAGTCACGTTCCTCAAAATCAAAGTTTTTCAAAGCGAATTGCTGTCCTAGAATGTGTCCAGAGCAGAGAAACAAGATTATTTGCCGGAATTAAAGGAATTTCTTGGCAGGTTAAAAACACTTAAATGTATTCTTAAACAGAGAAGACTAGGAGGGGACTCGTTGAAGTTTTCAAAATCCTCAAAGGCATTGACAACCCAGTGGACTATATCAAGTATAAACTACAGCAAACATTGTTTAAAACTGAGAACAGCAGACGCCACCTTTCACAAAGGGTTGTCTGACACAAAACAGCATTCAATCGAAGCTGATAAACAGTCTTATATCAAGAACAGGCTGAAAGCAACATAACTTTGAAACAATATCAGTTTCTTAGCTAGAATATGGATGTTAAGATTTCCAGTGAATTTTAATTTAAAACAGTGAATATGTATGTCTGCAACATTGAAATGTATGGAGTTGTGTAAGAAAACGTGTGTATGTACGTTATTTTGCCAAACCTGCATTGCAAAAAAAATGCTAACATGTATGGACAAGAATGTGCATGCAATTACAGGATTCATCTCTTACAAACAACTGTTGTAGAGATAAGCTGCAGTGGTATTCATTGACAGAAATAAAAAAATAGCTACACAACTGCTATCCATATACATCTTTTTGGAATTTATTGCCAAGCTCATATTACACAGTGGCAGCAATTTTGGATAATGGCTGTGAAGTCATTTTTTGTACTGGAAGTACAGAAAGATCAGTACTTAGACATACGCATAAACATGTACAAACAGACCCCAGTGATCATGTAAAATATTGTAAAGGAGGAGAGATGAAGTGTTCATGAGCACAAGAAGAATATCTAGGCTAATAGTCAAGGACAGAATTTGACAGAACCTGATTGAGCTTCTTGGAGACTAATTTTCAAATGTCCTGTCAGTGACGTTCTAGGCTCCTACACTTGCGTGCAAACACAGTCATTTTTCCAGACCTATTGCCGACTGAAACAGTACTTGAAGGTCATAGGATGATGAAATGTGGCTTCAAACATCAACGTGGCAGTAATGAAAACCACACAACCAAATTAGCAGCAGATACATCCAAAGCAGAAAAGTGCTATAGTAGTGACCACAGTCAATTGAGATCCAACTGAACAATTAGGTGTCAAGGAAGCTGTGGGATCAATGCATTCTCAGTTGCTAGCATTTGGTCAAAACTGCAGTCAACCTGTTACAGAAAACAACATTTGTGCACTCAAAACAATATTTCTCCATAATACAGGGCACACTAAACTCTTGATTGGAGTGGATAGTTTTGTACAGACATGTTTAAATGATCAGATTTTTCTTAAAATATTGTAACGCAACGGGGGCTCAGGCGGGCGCCCTTGCCGCATCTGGTCGGCCCCATCCCGACTGGAGGCTCGAACCCGGGACTTCCGCGTCTCTCTGCAGCGACCTAGCCCCGTGAGCTAAAGAGAGATCTCTCCACAGCCCAGTAGCGGGGGCTCAGGCGGGCGCCCTTGCCGCGTTACAATATTATACGGAATCAAAAAATTGACCTGCCGTTTGGAATTGATTTCTCATATATAGTAACTAGTCTGTGTAGCTTTCTTTTAATGAATAGTGCACATTCAAGTTCTTGCTTTCCATTCTGTGGTATTTTTAGTCATTAATGCTAATTAAGCAACTTCAGTGTTAGCCAAATAACACCACCGAGAAGCATCAATAAAGAAACCGTGTAAATGGTAAAAAAAAATACATGTATTTTCTCAAAATATTCCAGATCAGCATTAGTAAAATGTAGTTGTTACTGTAAAAAAAAAACAAGAAAAATGAGATTTGAGATTTGCAATAAAATAAAGAGTTGAAGGGTTAAGCATATAAGAGCTGAGTGACTATAAAGCTTTTACTTGTGACCGAAGCACAGACAGCTGTCAAGCTGTCTTGGTCACAGTGTCAATAATGACTTTTTCATGCTGACGGACTACTTTTCAGAATGTAGCTGGGACAGGTTTTGTCATATAGTCGATTCCAATTCAGTCTGACCTGCACCACCTAGAAAGCACAGAAGCACTTAAACTTGTATTTAGAAGTGCCGGAGAGGTCTCTGGAAATGAGCTTTTTCTAGTCTGGTGTGTGAGAAAACAAAAATAGCACCCCTTAGGCCTGTACTAACTTTTAAATATGAATTGAGTGGAAGAGAAAGTGTTTATCAGTTACTACAGGCCTTGTCACTTATGCCTCATCTGTGTTGTTCCAATCCTATTATACAATCCCTGCATGATGTGCCATGTCTCCTGTCTAGAATTTCATTTGCCAGGCTAAATGTCCCAGTTCAGCTGGCTGTCAGGAACTGTGGAGTAGAAACCTTGTCCTTTGATAAGAATTGAGAACGTTATAAAGTACAGAACATGAACACTTCCTGTATTTTAAGTTTAGGGCCTTGTGTTTGAAGTTACCGTTCATGATCGCTTCCTTGCTTCCATTAAACTTTTGCTGCTTTTCTCAAAAAGCCTGTCGCAGACATGTTTTTTTTACGGAGTCATCAAGTGGAAAAAGGCGTCACTCTCGTCTTGTTGGGGGGGATATACAGCTCCAGCTAAAGAGATAGTCACAGGCACCACAGACACTCAAGGATGATCTCCTTTTCCTGAAGAGCAAGTAAGCACTGACCGTCCGAACAGCACTGATGAAAAAGTGTCTATCTGCATTTCACATTACAAAGCAAAAATGATTTAAAGATACCCTTACCAGCATAAAAGGTAATGCTGGATGGAAGACAGTCTGAGCTGGGAATCCAATCCTAGCAGACAGTGTGAAAAACAAGCATGTTTGTCCATCACCAAGAAGCCCAAGTAGTCTTGTTTAAAGACACACATATTTCTATCACATTTCTATTCTATTCTATTTCTATTCACTGTCACCCACCATCACACCCACCCACCACGGTGCACACCTATGCAGACTTGCATAATGCACAAATATTCTGCACTCCTGTATCACAAGAAAAGACAAAAAGGTCAATGGGTGCAATATCACTACTAAGAGTAGTGCTCTTTCCAAAGAAGCTGTCCCTGACCTTCCTGAGAAATGTCTTTGGCACCTAGCTAGAGTAAGGGTTTGATTGCATTAGTCTACCAAAATAAACCAGCAAATATGGAGAGATTAGCAAGGAAGCTGATCCCAGGACACATATTCAAGTTAAATGCCAGAACATTTAGTGCAAGAGAAAGGAGGCATTTCTTTACATGAGGATTTGTGTATTTGGAGCAAACTAATCAAAGAACTATCAAGAAAGAACTTGATGAGGTCTTTGGATCAATGAGCTACTACCAGCCAGATGAGCAAGATACACTTAAAGGTTTTTTATCATTCATCAGATCTGATCAATGGTCTGATTGTTCTAGGTTCTGGAACATCAGCAACATTACTCCTGTCGTGCAATGTTAGTAAATGGGATGCATAGGGATTTATAAAATAAGGGATTTTATGTTACAGTTGTACAATGCACTTGTAAGACATCATTTAGAGTGCTGTGTGTAATTTTGGTTACCACATTACAAAAAAGATATTCCTTCTCTGGAATCACTACAGAGCAATCAGATACATTCCATTACTTGAAGGAATGTCCTAGACTGACAGGCTTAAGGAAGTAAATCTTTTTTAGCCTGAAACAGAGAAGACCATGAGGGGAATCAATTCAAGTTTTCAGAATCCTCAAAGACACTGACAAAGTCATCCCAGAGGACCTCTTCAGAATGAACATTGAAACTCAAACCACGAGACACAAAGAGGAAACTTTACAAAGTGGAGTCTTTACTTTAAGAGTCGTAAGGGACTGGAACGCACTACCCAGATAAGTCAAAGGTGATACCCTAAAGTTTTTCAAGAGGGCATCAGATAAATGAGCTCCAAAAAAGGCAACAAATGAGCTACATAATCCAGGGCTTCCTGTCATCTGCAAGCTTTCTTATGTTCAGATTACTCACCTGGTGTGTCCTGTGATTCCTGCAGTCAAGGGGTTCTGTGTGAGAGATACTGTACAGCCGTTTCTCAAGCAGGTGAAGAATGTGCATTGTAGAAGGTCACCAACATCAAAAACACTGTAGTGGGCACAGACTTGCAGAGGTGGACTGAGCCTGTATTCTGCAGTCATGTGTGCAGTAATGAGACAAGCAGTAGACACACCACAGCAAGCACAGATATAGAAACCTTCATCACCTTGGGCATTTTTTTCCAGAAACAATGTGGTCTTGCCTCACCTTATCCAATCAATGCATGCTTTACCTGTCAGCTGTATAGCACTAGATTTGTCTTTTTATCTACAGATGTCAAGCACCTCCTGGCTAGTGTGATCATCTACTGC